GGTTGCCGGAAAAGATCGACGGTGGACATCCAAGAGAGTTCCTAATTAAGTTCATCCCGGAATTGCTCGGCGCGGAGCACTTTCCCGCACAGCTGGAGGTGGACCGGGCACATCGGCTGGGAAGCAGGCTGCCGGGTGACAATTCGCGCCCGCGAGCAATGATTGCATGAATTCACTACTTCTATGTGAAGGAGACGATTATGCGACCGGCTCGTCAACAGTTTCCCCTCCACCACAAGGATAAGCCGATCTACATTTTCTCTGATTACCCGGCGGAGTTGATGAGGCAGCAGCAGGCGTTTGACAGTGTGAAGATGCGGCTGCAAGATGCTGGAGCGAGATGTGGCGTCCTGTACCCTGCGTGCTTATGGGTCACCATCGGCTCCACGGATAAGACGTTCTCCTCTCAGCAGGATGCAGAGGTCTTTGCAGAAACTTTACAGAATCGCCGAAGTTAGAGACTCTTTGGTATGTGTTCTTTATTTAAGGTCATTGGGGACTGGAATTATATTTACAACAGTCTATTGCTTTTAGCATAATCTTAGTTTGTTAAATTTGAGTGGGTAAAGAAGCCTGTTTGGTGGAGTTTGCTTGTCATTTTCATGGCCTGTACGGCCCGGCTTCCTCTATCTGGTAATACGGGGTTTCTATTCTCACTTTATTTGGGAAAGTGGGATGGGGGAGGAGGGTTTTTCTTATGTTGTTTTTTTATTTCTTATGTTGTTTTTTCATGTTCATAAAATATTTAATGTTTTTCACTACGTTGTCAGGCTAACATATGAGTGCACTGAAGACATTCTGCTAAAAAAATTCTGTGTACCATAACACATCATTACAATGTGGTGGCATAACTGTTACTAGTTGGAATGTCAAGGGCTTGGGGCATGTCCTGAAAAGGGCTAAAGTATTTTCTCATTTAAAATCTTTATCGGCGGACATTGTTTACCTCCAAGAAACACACATAAGACCAGGTAAGGAGGGGTTATTGAGATGCAGTTGGGCAAACCAAATTTTTCAGTCCACCTTTTCGGGTAAAGCTCGAGGGGTGGCAATTCTAATTCGTAGAACAGTTCCTTTTAGGCATCTTTCCACTGTGNTCTTTGGTATGTGTTCTTTATTTAAGGTCATTGGGGACTGGAATTATATTTACAACAGTCTATTGCTTTTAGCATAATCTTAGTTTGTTAAATTTGAGTGGGTAAAGAAGCCTGTTTGGTGGAGTTTGCTTGTCATTTTCATGGCCTGTACGGCCCGGCTTCCTCTATCTGGTAATACGGGGTTTCTATTCTCACTTTATTTGGGAAAGTGGGATGGGGGAGGAGGGTTTTTCTTATGTTGTTTTTTTATTTCTTATGTTGTTTTTTCATGTTCATAAAATATTTAATGTTTTTCACTACGTTGTCAGGCTAACATATGAGTGCACTGAAGACATTCTGCTAAAAAAATTCTGTGTACCATAACACATCATTACAATGTGGTGGCATAACTGTTACTAGTTGGAATGTCAAGGGCTTGGGGCATGTCCTGAAAAGGGCTAAAGTATTTTCTCATTTAAAATCTTTATCGGCGGACATTGTTTACCTCCAAGAAACACACATAAGACCAGGTAAGGAGGGGTTATTGAGATGCAGTTGGGCAAACCAAATTTTTCAGTCCACCTTTTCGGGTAAAGCTCGAGGGGTGGCAATTCTAATTCGTATAACAGTTCCTTTTAGGCATCTTTCCACTGTGGCTGACCCTAATGGCAGATTTTATACTGGTAGCAGGTTATCTATATTCTTTTCATGTTACGCTTCTTAATGTATATGGTCCCAACTTTGATAATCCAGGCTTTTTTAGAAAAATATTTAATTTGCTCCCTAATTTGACTGATACACACCTAATTCTGGATAGCTAATAATATGTTTAGACTCCAGGAGAGATCTGATTCTTAAGGAATGGGTGCAGAAGAATTGTCTGAGTGGCATTGCCATATTGTGACATCATCAGCAGGGGCAGGACCCCGAGCAGGTCTGGTACATAAACCGGGAGGCTCTGCATAAGAACAGCGGTGCCCTCTAGTGGGCAGGGATAACATTTCAAGAAGAAAGATATCAGTTAATTTGATGGAATACATTTAATTTTCTTTTATTTTCAATAAACAACATATACATTATCTGTTATCTACAAAGTGCTCACTTGACGGACATTTATAAGAAGCAGGTAAATCCAGAGAACAAACTAATTCCTTTTATAGAGCTGAAGGTATCTGTGTTTGTATTCTGCAGATGCTGATTAGAGGCATGGGTGGCATCCTGATCGTCCTGTCGGTCGTGGAGGTTTGTGTCGCCATCAGCGCCGCTTTGTTGGAGCTTGAAACTCTGAGTTGCAGCAGAGAGAAGCAGGAGAAGGTGAAGTATTGATCAACAAGAATTATGTTTAATCTGTGTATTTGCTGAGTTAATGATCAGTAAGTTAACTAACTTCTGGATTAGAACTGAAATTAGATTTAGATTTTGAAAACTTTAAAATAGATCAAAAATTAAGTGGCTAACTACAAGAAAGTCTTCTTTATGCATTAATCTAAAAAATTTATTTTTTTGTCTTTCATATTTGTATTGATTTGTATACACTAGGGCAGGGGTAACCAATTAAAAAGTGAGCGGGGTCCGAATAAGGAAAATCATCAACCAGTAAAGGTCCGGAGATTTTTATCAGTTACTTTTAACATCATTTAACACAGAAATAAAATTGGGTTTTTATGCATTTGTGTTATACATTGACTTTTTAAATAAAAAAAAAACATTTTAAAAAAAGAACCTTTTCCCATTTTAAAATCAAAAGTGTTTTTTAAGAACAGCAATCGTTCAGTTTGGTATATAGACAATTTCCTAATTCACATATTTTATAAAACACATGAACGTATTGTTTTTTATATTCTTTCTTTTTTCTGTCTTAATGTTGGCAGTGGGCTTTAGGCTGCCCTGCAAGGTTTTAAACCTGGGTTTGAATGGAGACTAAGCCATTCTCAAGCACATATCAAGGTGCTCATTTTGAGCCTGGATCCAGATTTATTTTTGATTCTGTTCATGGTGGAGATCCTGCTTCACAGCAGCAGGTTGAGCCAAACATCCTCTTAATGTGCAGGGTCATCTTTGAGCACGCCATTTCCCTTTTCTTCCACCGGTTCACCGCAGTTCTTCCAGCAGTCCACACTTTCTCTGCTCTCTTTTTCCCATCGCCCGGCTTATGACAGGTTTGCCTTAAAGTAGCAACAGCAGCAACCCAGACTGACACAGATCATTGGCAAATTTAGATCAAATGTAGCCTGGTGCCGGACGCTCCAGAGGGCTTTACCATATTAACAGGAAAGCAGGGCAAGTGAAGTTAGACACTGTTGTCGGATAACATGCGGTAATTTATAAATGTTTTAAAAAAGGTTGGGTCCAGATTAGCCAGCATGTGGGAATCAACTATTTAACAGTAGAAGTCATCGTGGGTCAGGCTTTGTTAGTCGACTCTATAAGGCCTTGAACTCAAAGCTAATTCTTCCTGGATGGGAAGCGAAAGGTCTTCAAACTTAGAAATAAAGTCATCAAATTGGCAAAATACCAACACCAAATAATTCACTAATAAATAGATCAGGAAATGAACAGTAAATCTGCCAGACTCATAGAAAAGGGCAAAAAAACGAATGCAATAAAAGCACGGGCTGTGAGAGAATCAAACCTATGAAGTCTGAAAAAAAGGTCAAGAAATCAACGTATTTGAGGCAAAATGTCCTTTCAATGATATCTGCAGCCTGATAATAGAAATAGAAATGAATCAGAGAGACTGAAGGGCAGATTATACTTCTGTATCTGCATGCATCAAATGTAGCTTGGGTCTGGAAGTGAACCAGTTTTGCTGGTATGCTTCTGCACCGTCGGTCTGGAATTTCTAGGGACGCACAGCAGTTTTCCCCCAAAGAGCAAGGGGGGGCCTATTCGAGAACTCACGAGAACGTAGTTGTCCATTGTAGTTGTTTCTCGGTTTTTAAAAATGGCACGCCAGAAAGGCATACCAA